TTCCCTCTCTCTGTTCCAGCCTGGCAATCTGCTGGTCTAGATAGGTGTAATGGAGACGACTTATCTCTGTTTTGATGACCCTGCTTTATATGCAGCTTATTCCTTTGGGATACAGTGGGCCAAAATGTATGAAAGAAGGTGTTACTCTGCCTGTTGGAATTCATCCCTTCTTAATAGTCTTGTTTCTCAAGGCAACCTGCCAAAACACTGTGGTATGACCGCCCTCGGTATGTTTTTCTGGAGTTCTGCGTGGAAGACAGCATTGATGTCAAAGTCGACATCCAGGACTATTGGGTGATATTCAGGTGAGCTGCCCACTCTGCTGCAGGCCCTGCATCAAGTGCTCAGTGACCAGCCCAAACCCCGAGCCATGCAGGCCAGCATGAAGAATTGATCCCCTTGCAGAGCATCACTATCGTGGCCCACACCCCATTCTGAGCCAGACTGTGCTTGTGTTTTGGCAGCTGCAAAAATGTGGATGGTGTGGAGTTCTACAACAAAATTGACTTCTATGCCAGAGTGAATTCCAAGGTGAGATCCTGTTCCAGAATCAAGACCCCTACCCTGTATGTGCAGGTCCTTCAGGCCTTGTGCCTTCCAACAGATGGGGCTTATGACAGCCCAAAGTGGGTCTGTTTGGGGTGGGTTGTAGTTTGCATTTACTGTTGCAGTTGTGGGTTGTAGCTTGCAAGGCTGTTGCATCCCAGCACTCAGGCAAAGAGGCAATCCCTGACACCCATCCTTCCCAAATTGTTCAGTGCTTGGGGCTTGAGCTGCAGACCTGGTGAAGGGTTCCCTTACTGTTACTATGCCATTAATCTTACCCAGCCTTTCCCAGAATATACATCAGTGTTTTGTTGTGGCCTGTGGTCACTGAGGATGGTACCAAGGACTCTTGGACCATGTAATGAATCAGAGGACCCCAAAACACTGAGCTGCATGGAGGAAATGATTTGTACTGGCAGGGTTTTGCCAGGAACACCCTGTCATTCTAGGTTTCTCCCCAGAGGCTAGAGCTCCCATGCTTTGGAAGGGAATTCCTTTCAGAGTTGTACCTCAATTCAAGCATGCACTACCAGGGAAGGATGAGCCTGCATGTTTCAGACTCCAGTACAAACAAGTGAAGTCTGCACCTGTCAGCTGGGAGCATCACATCTTGCCAGCCTATACAGAGGCTGGTGTAGTAGATGACATAGCATAAAATCATGCCATGGGTTTTTGGAGCAGACTGGAAGCCAAACATGGCTTGTGTAGCCCTAGAATGCTACTGCAGTTGTGCTGTCCCCAGAGATGTAAGGTGAGGTTCAAAAAAGGACTCTTGCTGTGCCCCTGACTTGCTGTGCAACCTTGGAAAAGGTACTCCCCTTTCCATGCCTGTTTCTGATTCATAAAATGAAAGTGCTGGGAAATAATGAGTTACTGGGACACTGTAGTGATGGTATAGTTGGTATAGTTGTTTGTTGGGAAGGCACAAGTAATAGCCCTGGTTGTATGCAAAGAAGAAGGTGGATTAATGATGACCTCTGGGCTTTCCCTCGCATCCCAGAATGTCCCTGAGTTCATGCAGCCATTTCAGGCAAGGCATCTGATCTGTTCCCTGTCAGGACTCACAGAATAAGCGCTCTGGTCGGTCCATCACCTGCTTCATGAGGAAGTGGAAGGAGAAGGTGGCATGGCCACGCCTCACCAAGGAGAACATCAAGGTGGGTTTGCTCCTTGGCAGATGCATGCCCAAACAGCTGGGTCACTTGTTTCCTCTGGGGTTATGTTTCCCCTGATGTAAGCTCCCCTGTCCCCTGAGTGCTATACTCAGCACAGTGAACATTGCCAGGGTGGGCAGAAGAGTAACTTCAGCTATTCTGTGGCATGGCAGACTAGGATTTCTGCCCCAGTTAGTGCTGGCAAGAGATGCCAGCTCTCTGGCTCCTAGAGACTGAGATTCTATGACTGGTGCACTTATAACATCAAGAGCCCAAGCATCTCCCACTCTCTGCCTGCCTCAGTCCCAACTAAAGACAGTCCCTCACTCTTGAAAGAAGAGTTCAGAGTCCTGATTCTCTGGGAAGGGCTCATCTGTTGTATATGTCTACAGTGCTCATCATGATAGGGCTCTGATGCTTGATGGCTCGGGCTTCTATGCATTGCAGCAGTACAGATAACAAGATACAGTACAAGAATAATCATGGTCTCCATGCTGGCACTGTTGAACAGCCCTAGTTTATAGCAATGACTTTTGAGCACTACTGGCCTGGGCCAAATCGCACAAGTGCCTTTGGCGTGGAAAGACTCTATATCCTTCTCTCAAGCCCAGTCCTATGACTTTGGGACAGGAGGAAAGCAAATGCACCCCCCTACCCATTCCTCTGAGCAAAATAGTTCCCCACCAAGACAAAGCTCTCCATTTCACTCTTGCCATGTTCGTTGCTATGCCACCCTCAAAGTTGATACGCTTTCTTCTGCTTGCTTGCAGCCAGCCTGGCTATTTGTGGACTTTGATAACTGGAGGGACTGGGAAGGAGATGAGGAGGTGGAGAAGGTCATGGTTGAGGAGTATGCGGAGGTGAGTCTCATATTACCAAGATTGTTTGGACCTGAACAGTAAGGTGCAGCCTCACAAGTGCCACCCAGGACCCAAGACCTCACTCCGAGCCTCTACTGTCCCTGGAGCCACAGGGTCTGGCTGTGACCCCCTCACACATGCTCTCAGCCCTGCTCTTCCTCCACCAGGACTTGTGTCCCTGAAGCAGATAAAATTCCCTGCCTCTCCCCACTCTCAGCATCCCCTCCCCTTTGATGCTCAGTGGCAACCCCCCCTCCCCACCCCACCCAGCAGGATTTTAAGCAGGATTTTCCCCAGGGCACTAATTGTGGTAATTATCCTACTAGGTGCAGGAAGAGGGGACCCACCGACTGCTACCACTGTCACTGACCCAAGGGTTGAGGAGGCCCCAGAGCTGCTTCTGCCTTGCTCCAACTGTGGGGGCGGGACTATGGGAAACATCTGTGTGAGGTGCTGGGCTTGGTTAGGGAAAGTGGGGGTCAGTGGATTTCCCTATTCCTGCACCTGCTCCCTGCCCAGTAACCATAAAGCAAACTTATCTCTGCCAAGTACTGCACTACCTTGCCTTATAAACTTGCTGCTAGCTAGAGAGGGAAATTAAGAGAGATCTCAATGGGGGTATTTGTGGATGGCTCAGTATCTCCACTAGCTGGTTCTAAGCAGAAAAGCACTTTGAAATGTTGTTGCAGGCAGAACTGGAGAGATGAGGCATGGGGCCTTGGCCATAACAAGAAATAGTTTTTAATCAGTAGGTGGTGTTAGCTCTTGGGAAGAGGAGGAACCAGGCAACAAGAGCAGTAGATGTACTGCTCTCTACCTACATCTTTATATAGCCCCATTACGATCCGAGCATTTCATAGATGTTGATGCATGTGGTCTCATCTCGCTGGGTACATCTACATATGCTATTAACGTGTTGAAAGCTTACTGTGCAGTAAGCTTTCCCTGAGAGCACCTCTTTGTATGTGCCAGCCAGGAGCACGTCAGTACAAGGCTACTTCTGCCCAGCTATGCTCCCATATGGCTGCCAAGGGGAGCTCTATGTTTTCCCAGCTGGCAGGGGATCAGGCCTAGGCTGGTACAGGGCATGATGGGGGAGCTACTTATGATTAAATGCTCCTGGGCAGGGATCTACATGTGCAGGGACTCAGAAGTAGATTTGCTGCTCCTAGCCCTGCATCAGCCCCCTGCAGTAGCCAGGGGGACCTCTAGGCTCCCCCTGGGTAGTAGCCCAGGGGCTGGCAGGGAGCATGGGGCCAAGAGACAGCTGTCTTCCGGCAGGGGCTGGGACATTGCTCCCTGCCCCCAGGGGTCTGCCTGCTGCCTGCGGCAGGGACAGTGTCCCCCTGCCCCAGCACCATGGAGCTCCTGGCCCCAGCTCCCTGTTCAGCTCCCTGGGGGCAGAGGACTTGAAAAGAGCTGCAGGGGAGGGGCAGGTCCCAGCCCCCTGCCCCAATCTGCCAGTGCGGCAGCTAGCAGCGAGCCCCAGGCTGGGTAAGGATTTCACATCCAGCCAGGGGCTCCCTGCTAACTGCCCTACCCAATCAGGGCATGAGGCTGGGACCTGCCCCTGACTTAGACAGTTCCCAGCCCCGCTCCATGATTATGGATTAGGGGGGAGGGGGCTGGAGAGCCTGTTCCCTGCCCAGCTCTGATCCTGGATGGGGAACAGGCTTCCCAGCCCCAGCCAGCAGGGACCTCCCAGTGTTATCTGAGCAGGAGCAGGGGCTGGGAGATCTTTATCAGTCAGGCACCAGCAGAGATGGGTGCTCCAAGTTCATTCCTGGGGTTGGGGCTGCCACCACCCCAACCACTGCTGCTTGACTAGGCATAGGCCACCATGTGCTCCATATCCCAGGAGCGGGACCAGTGCTGGAGCCAGAGCCACAACTGAGAGTAAATAGGGTAAACAGGAGTGGGGGTAGTGGCTGCGGGGAACAAGTGGTGAGGGGTCAGGCATCAAGGGGAAAGGGATGAGGAGGTCAAACCATTTGACTCCCTTACTGCCTGCCCCTCTGACAGTTCTTTCCTCACTGTAGCAGTGTAGCCCTAGAATGGACAAATTTAAGATGACTTTCCAATAATTAGATTCTAGACATGGAAAATTATAACACATTTATCATTTTTCCATGTATGGAATCTAAATATGGGGAGGTCATCTTAAATTCAAAGTTGTCTTGGATTCAGGTCAGTGTAGTACTAGATCTGTCTTGGGATTCAGGTAAATATGGTATTAACCAAGTACTTGCCCATCACAGCAGCAGCAAGGTATTGGCAATGCCCTCATCTCCCCTGCCTTTTACCTATGTACATAATAGGACATAGTTGGTGTTTCAAGTATTGTTTCTTGTAGCTGCATGTGAGGGCTTGAAATGATTTTTGGAGTGAATTCCTTTGGTTACCAATTGCCTGTAAACATATGGTATGGGACTTGGTGGCCCAGGAGACTCAGTGTGTTCCCTTAAGGTATAATCTCATGGGGGCTGGAAGGTACTACCAGGGGAAAGAGACTCCATCCCTCTCACCTTCAGCCTGGTTTTTATTCTTTATTCTCATGACCGTTTGTTTCCCATCCAGCTCCTGCAGAAGGTCACACATAAAGACCCTCCCCCTACAATGGATGACCTTGATGATGTAAGTACCTCTGAGGCACTATGTTATGGTTGGCAAG